GGGTAGAAACTTTATCGTTTGTTCCACATTGAAGAACACTCGGTGAAATAAATTAACTAATTTTTTATTTTGAAATGTTTCAAATTTGCGAACGTAGAAATACGATACGGTAAAAGTTTGAATATTGGGAAGTTTTCAATTTTTCGAATTTTTAAATATTCATCAATTCGTAAATGGAGAAATTTAGATACACGGAAAATTTGTCAACGCGTCGAACTTTGAAATTGTTGCATTCGGATGACTGAAAGTTCTCGAATTCGAAGTCATTTTCCGGTCGGTAACTGTACATTATGCAGAACACACTGTAAACTTGTAACCCGTCTGCAGCGAGCAGGTATCACGACAGTTGGCAGTAGATCGTTAGGATGTAGGAAATCGGAAGAACCGACAGGATATGGAAATTAGTCGGTTCGAACAACGCTTCGAATTTGGTTGTCAGACGTTGTTTGCGTTTACATTTATCATGGGACGTCGCGCAATCAAAACCGCTTCAGATCGCGACGAATTATCCTCGCATGGCGGAGGAGCATGTACACTCTCGTACAACGAAAGCTTCCCTTAGGAAATGTGAAACAATATTTAAATACTTAGGATTTCCCTGCGCTGGATAACTCAAATACTACATTTTTTAATTCTCTGTTCTTTCAATTCTTAAATTCTTCATTTCGAATTACGAGGAATTGAAATTTCTGTATTCTAGATTCTCAATTTTGCAACTTTTTAGATTACTTGAATTGGGCAAATTAGTTAAAGTAGTCAAAGTAGTCAAAGTAGTCAAAGTAGTCAAAGTAGTCAAAGGAGTCAAAGTAGTCAAAGTAGTCAAATTAGTCAAATTAGTCAAATTAGTCAAATTAGTCAAATTAGTCAAAGTAGTCAAGTTACTCAAATTACTCAAGTTACTCAAATCACTCAAATTACTCAAATCACTCACATTATTCATATTACTCAAATTACCCAAATTACTCAAATTCTCAAATTTCCAAATTGTCAAATTTCCAAATTTCCAAATTTTCAAATTTTCAAACTTTCAAATTTCCAAATTTCCAAATTCTCAAATTTCCAAATTCTCAAATTTCCAAATTCTCAAATTTCCAAATTCTCAAATTTCCAAATTCTCAAATTTCCAAATTCTCAAATTTCCAAATTCTCAAATTTCCAAATTCTCAAATTTCCAAATTCTCAAATTTCCAAATTCTCAAATTTCCAAATTCTCAAATTTCCAAATTCTCAAATTTCCAAATTCTCAAATTTCCAAATTCTCAAATTTCCAAATTCTCAACTCAAATTTCCAAATTCTCAAACACATTCTCAAATTTCCACATTCTCAAATTTCCACATTCTCAAATTTCCACATTCTCAAATTTCCACATTCTCAAATTTCCACATTCTCAAATTTCCACATTCTCAAATTTCCACATTCTCAAATTTCCACATTCTCAAATTTCCACATTCTCAAATTTCCACATTCTCAAATTTCCACATTCTCAAATTTTCAAATTTTCAAATTTCCAAATTCTCAAATTTCCACATTCTCAAATTTCCAAATTCTCAAATTTCCAAATTCTCAAATTTCCAAATTCTCAAATTTCCAAATTCTCAAATTTCCAAATTCTCAAATTTCCAAGTTCTCAAATTTCCAAATTCTCAAATCTGCAAATTCTCATATCTCCAAATTCTCAAATCTCCAAATTCTCAAATTTCCAAATTCTCAAATCTGCAAATTCTCAAATCTCCAAATCCTCAAATTTCCAAATTCTCAAATCTCCAAATCCTCAAATTTCCAAATCCTCAAATTTCCAAATCCTCAAATCTCCAAATCCTCAAATCTCCAAATTCTCAAATCTCCAAATATTTACAAATCTCCGAATTCTAAAATCACCCACTCACATCCCGAAATTGTCAAACTTCCTAATTCCAAAAAGCCAAACCTACACCCCAAATTCCTGAACTCTTACAATATCCACTCCCAAACTTCCAAATGAAAAATTTTCGAAAACAAACGCCGCTATGCTTCTCTGTCCGTGCAAATTTATCTCGAGCGCAGGAAAGTCTGAGTTGTAGTCGACTGTACAGGGGACGAAATGCCTGCAACGATCCGGCCACCTATTGCGCCGGGCTAAATTCTGGCACGCCGACAATTATGTTGGACTACGGTGTTACACGAGGCCACGAGACAACCGGTGTTCAGCATGCTATTGCACATGCATCGGAACAAACACTTCCGGTCAACATTGACGGAATGGCTAGCACACGCACTCGTACAACGATCACGGCATGTCGGATGTTTCTCGACTGATGCTGTGGCGTTCCTGAAGAGACGAGAGCCCCGGAAAGGCATCATTGTGGCAGGAATTCCAGATGCACTAATTATTTTCAAGTTAATTAAGATTTTTAATTAACTTGGCTGTTTCTCGATGGGAAAGCAAACGATCCTTTAGCTACTGTGGTATAAAAATAGCACCACTATGTCATTCCGTAAGCGACGTCGTTTTTACGCACTGCTTCGTTGCGATATTTACCGCGGTTTATCGATTAAATAGACGTTGTTTATTGTATTACATGATTCTATGTTATGTAATAATATATGTGATATATAATATTGTTTAATAACTTCATGGTACAGTCAAAGAATGTACAATGAACTGTCATATAATCAATGGGGTATTATTTGTTCCGGATTGGTATCTTTTGAATAGGTTTGACTTCTTAAAACTACTTGTAAATAATGTTTTTCGTGTAGTAGTAAATAAGGTGGAGTAAAATGTTACCCTATACAAATTGTATTAAGGTAAAACGAATTAGGTAAAGTCGACTCGATTGAATACAGCCATGGTCCTAAGCCCTGGACTTAGGGTCTAATACCATAAGTTTATGGGCCCAGAATCAGGCTTTTCCACGTTCTTGGGTTTCGCTGCGAATCGAAGGACGATGTAGAAATCCCTGCAAATTAACTATCCGATTTTACGAGCCGTTTCAACAAAAATACCGCGAGACTTGAACTTGGGTAAAGTTTGGAAATTTAGAAATGCAAAAGTTAGCATCCCTGAATGTACAAATGAAATTTCGCGCGGGATAGCTGGAAACATCCGCGGAGGCACGACACGAAACTACGATAAAACGTATTCATTTCGTAGTGTTTTCGTGTTTACAGCATGGTTTCGCTTAATTAAAATGTTTCCGTCGATGTAACTTTAAACTTTAACCGTACAGAATTTCCGAGCACACACTGATTAAAACCGTCACGTATCTCGTTTGCCTTGCGATTTTGATTTCTGGGTCGCGTTCTAAATAACGGCCAATAGAAAATGCATGCCTATTTCAGCGAATAGTATTTTAGTTTGATCGATCATCACAACAGTCGCAAGTGGGTCACTGGGAGTTGGAACCGATTGGAAGGAACCGGTTATGTCATTTCTTGTCCGAAGAAAGCTTGTCAAGCGAATAATGTCAGGACATAGTGTGGTGCATTGGGACGCGAGGGTGGCTTCGACAACGTTGGCAACGATTTTTCTTTTTTTTTTCTTTCCCGCCCTATTCTTTGCGGAACTTCCACTCGGTACTCGACTTTCCATCAGAGAAGCGATGCACGCGAGTAATGTGTAGTTTAAATGCAGAAATTTCTCGTAGCAGAAGCGCGAACAAAACTTCTGACGGCGAAAAAAAAGGAGAATAGACGAAAGCAATTTGCGTTCATCCATCGGGCAGCAATAAAAGGATCTAATGTGCTATTTCGCGATGCATGGTTAACATTTCAATTTCCCTTGAATAGATCTAAAATACTAGATCTAAATATTTTCACATCTTTAGAACCCCACATTCCAATTATTTTAATTATATAGTACTTCAGTATTCCGAGATTTTAATATATTAACGTCCCTTGATTTAAATAACATTCGTGGTATTCCAAGTCTGAAAATTTATTTTGAGAGTTGTCGATCGTTAATTTATATGGGTCTGATTTTAATTTGATTGCTTGCTACAATTTGAGATGAAAGTTAAACCTTTGCGCTCGAGAGGTGCCTCTCAGGCGCCATTCGATTAAATACAATAATTTGAAATAAGTATTATTTAATTAATTCTATAATGGTGCTCGTGCGATGTATTAACACAGTGAAATAGACAATAGTGGAATTTATTAGTAGAGAAATAATAACCTCAAGAGAACTCATTTAACATTTTAATTAATATTTCAAAGTTGCTGTTTGCAAACAATAAAATTATCTTCGAGTGCAAAGTGTTAAATGAAAATTGGAGATAAGAGAAAAAAGGGAAGACGGTCGGAGAAAATCGCTGAAAGATTCTGACTGTTAATCAGCTGTCTCTCGAATCGCTCGGAATAAATCCAACGTTTTTCCACTTTGCCATTTGTTGCTTTCCCCTCCTCCTTATCACTACGTGATTTTTCCTCGTTTCAGCGTTGGTAACCGGGTGCCCGATGCGGAAAAGAGGATTTCGTGGGGTGCGCCAGGTTGATCCATAAATCTGTCGATAGAAATATTGCGCGTTTTCTAAGCGGAAAAGCAGGTAGGCAAGCAGGTAGGCGAATAGGTAGACAGGAGAAGTTGGAATAGAACGATTTTATACGACCCTTCCATTTTTATTCCATTCTTTCCTGTCGTTCCTCGAGAAACACGTTTCGGGTTGACTGCTATGGCAACGTATAAATTATATTGCAATTTTCGAGGAACGTTGGATTTTACCGATTAGAACGGTCAACGTAAATTAGTCAAAATGATTACTTGTCATGCTTGGATAATCTTGACAAACGTACTGGAGCCATGAAACGTCGAATATTCCATAAATTTGAATTAGTATTCGAACAACTTCAAATACGAAATTAGATCGACAAATGTGACAGGCAACATGAAATGCGTCGACTAAAATTAAACTCGAACAAGAAAATATTGAACAAATTATATGTACAGAAATAATATAAAATTTTTCAATAGCAATTATAACATCGGAATGAAAATGAAATTTAAAATTAAATTTAAGCTTACCTTGTGACCGGCGGCACACACATAAATCCACGATAGCAGGAGGTAGAGGGTCGAGATCTGGAATTTCCGTTTCATCTGGAACAGATGCATTTGCGTCAAAATAGAAATGTCATATTCGAGTTAGGATTAATCAATCGGTTTTGGATTACAATTTAATCCGGTCCATGATGGAGAATTTTTCTGATCGAGCACTGCTGTGTACCGTCTGTCCATTTACTAAACGAAGTGCATTCGCTTCGGAAATAATTACAAACTTTCAATTTAGGCAAATTTATCGGAAGAGCATTAACCTACAATTCTCTTGCGTCATTTATAGCTAGCTAATTGATACAACTTTAAGGCAACTAAAGGAAATTAAAATGTCAGACACATTTTTTCAGCGGTAGATTCTAATTGGAACTGAACGTAAAATTCAAGTACAATGAAACTACGAGTGACGTTTATTACATTTCAACTGTTGTGTGCGTCACGATATTGTAGGGCAGGTTCCCTTCGCTGTTCATACTTCTTCGGTCATTAATACAACAGCGTACTATAATAATTAATTTTATTCATCAGATTGTCGCACAACAAATATTCTGAAACATAAAGTTCGATATGGTTTTGATGATACGGAAGTGAGGTAGATATTAACAATTCAAGGAACCGAACAGAAATATTAAATTAAAGTGTAATTCTGCAATTTCCGGTAACTGACAATAATTAGAGAACACGATTTCCGTTTCTGCCACAATCGAAGAGGACGTTTCGAGAAATATGTATTTCGCGTGTCATGGAATATTGAAACAACCGACTGCGAAGCGACTCCCGTTTGGTTCCACAGGCCGGTTAATATTTCACGATTTAATAGTTCCGCGTTTGCGAGTAGTTCGAAACCGATGGAAACGAATTTACACGAACGAAACGGCCCAGCCGGAAGCGGAGGAGTATTCGCGTCTACGTTTGCGATTTAATCTTCTCCGCCCCTCTTTTGGCGCGATAAATCATCGGGTGACTCTGCGATTCTGTTAATAAAATGCGACAGCGAACAAAGATTCGTTTAATTTATCGGACAACCTGGATGCTGGTTGGGCAAATAAACGTTCGGTCTACCACCGCATGGTACCTGCTTTTCAATTAGCTGGCGAACAAGATCCTGCCCGATTAGAATCTCCTACGATTTTCACGACGGAATGCATTCGGGGATTTAAACGCTTCCTTCCGAACAATCTACTGTTCCGATCTTTTTGCTTCCACTGTTACCCGGTACTTAATTACTCCGACGATATTTAACCGCAACCCTTTCTCATCCCTTGCCCAACGATTTCTTTCGCGAACCCATTTGCATAATAATTTATCTCCCATTAAACTTGGTTTATTTGTCAAACCGGGTAGTATCGATTTTCCTTAGAGCCGTAAATTGATTCTTGTTATTTCGGTAGGGAACAAATAATTATAGGGTCATTCCACGTTACGAACACTTTTGGACGTCACAAAATAACCCAATCCTTCATGAATAAAACAAAAAAAAATTTAGCTAAATCGGTTCAGAAGTTTCTGAGAAAAAAATTCGTAAGTGAAGTCTATTTTCGCAAAAATTGCAAAATTTGAAGGGTTGTTAACAAATTCGAAACCGGCAAAATGATGATTTAAACCTCCCCCTAATTTTATATGGACTACAACATATTTTGATTAGAGCAAAATCGCAGATGACCCTACATTATGTGATACATACTGAAATATATCGCGATGATTTGGATGCACGTGATTAATCGTTGAGTTACGTAAACTATTTTCATGCGTCACGTTTTACACGTAACAACAGTGATCTATCATTACCATGAGTAATCCAACATCATGTTTCGTTCAATCCCGAACGTAAGAGCTTAATTTAATGCGGGATGTAAAATAGAAACTCCGAAACAGGCGTTGGATTTACCCGGGCTGCAAAATTGACTCGGTTATCTGTTGCATAAATGGGAACAGGATGATAACTAAACAATAGATTGTTAAGCGCCACAGCTGCTATGATTGGCAATAACTAAACAATAGACAGTAAACAAACAATAGAATAATAACTAAACGACAAGCTGCTATAGATTAACTCGATGTTATAAGGCAAACACGGCAGTATATTAACATTTACCGCTGGCTGTTGAAACGATCGAGTAAATATCGATTTACAATTTAACACCCTGTGTTCGCGATACTGATCTATTCACACCATCATTCTTTCTAATCTTTTTACTCCATACCTATTACAAACCTTTTAACTATATAAAATGCTAGCTCCAATTCCTAAATTGATAATTTTGTAATGAAGTCTTGAAACATTTTACAGTCGAAACTCACATTTGATTTGATACAAGTTAAAATAAGTATCCATAATGTTATGATTGGGCATAGTGAAAGAGACAATTGTAACAAAATTAATAATAGAAAAATAACAGTCCGAAAATATTTATCACACTTTTCAACTAAAAAGTTTCAGAGTTGCTAAAAAAGTGCAAAAAGTTAATACGTAGTCTCTTGTTACTTATGAAAGAATATGTGAGACTACAGGGTGTCTCACAACTGGTGGAGGTCCCCGAAGTGGGAGGTAGCTGACGGACCAATCAGAGCGCGGTTGAGCGCGCGCAGACGCGAGAGCGACACCTACGAGTCTAATGGCCGCGAACGTGATCAAGAGTTCTGATTGGTCCGTGTTTTCCCTTAATAATTCAAAAACAAAGCTTTAAATCCCATTTTTGTAAAGGGAAATCTTATTCAGAATCACGTCAGCTATCCCCCATTTCAAGGACCTACACTAGTTGTGAGACATCCCGTATAACAGATTAAAATTTGGAGTTCAATGGGTAAGAGTGTCATAATTTTCATGAAACTTCAAATTGACACACCACAAGTTATTTAAGAAAATGTGCATGTCATCGAATGATTTAATACGCGTCAAATAATTTCCAGCGGAATTAAAGTTTCCTTCAGACAAAGAAAACACTGTTTCTTGCTTCGGTAAATCGCGTCTCGCCGTTTCTTTACGCGACAAACGAGAAAATTGATTAAATCACACGATCGTTTGGGGTGTATGCTCAATAAATCGGTGGCACGGTTATGAAAGGGAAAACTTATACGCGGCCGTGCTCGTTTCTAATCGTCTTATCGCAAAGGCGATTCGTGAACGGATCTATTCGCGTGACCCGCGCCACCCTGGGCAAATATAACCCGCGAGAATATGAAGACATCCGTAGACGGTGGTGGTATTAATTAAAAGTGCCGAGCGCCTGTTTTGCTTTTGGATCAGACAGCCTCATTCGTAGCGAAAAGCACGCTCGCTGCTCGCCGGAGCGCGATTTTCGTGGGGAGGTTTCTCCTTTTTTTTCCTCCTTCGCGCGTTTCATCCCCGTCGAAGCGAGGAATTTTCAGCGAACCATATCTCTCTGATTCAACGTGTAATCGTTATGGATGCATTGAATACGGGATTATGAAGGATACGCGTTTCCTCGGACCGAGTCGCCATTATGGTAACTCATTTACCTCGAAAATTAAATAAATAATAAACTTTGGAATTTTTCGATTTAAGTGTAGCGACATTTGTCGTTTTATTACCTCTGTAATTTCTCTCGTGTTTTATTATGGATATAAAGTGTCGTACTTGTCAGACTACTTCAGGTTTTATTGCCGTGTGTTGTATCGTTAAACAGTAGGTATTTTTATATCTCTGTATTTTATGTACAGTTTTAAATCCATATGTTCCCAAACTTTGATAATATTAGGCAGCAATATTATTAGGCATTTAATGCTTTCATATCACAAATATTGCTACCCTCAGATTTTAATAGTCCTAGTATATCCAATATTATTTCTAAATAATACCTCCAGAAATAAAACTACAATATCCACAATATACTTAGACCTCAATACTTCTCGATTCACAATACCTTTAAATTTCAATATAAGCACAATATCGCTAGTTAATGATATCTCTAGATGCCAATAATATGCTACATAATATACTACAATAATATACTACATTACATCGTTAGACCTCTTTGAGTTCCAATATCCCTGAGACTCCAGTTTTCTAACATTCTCAGATCCCAACATCTGTAAACTACTTCAACATCCCTCCATCCTAATTTCAAAATATCCCCGGATTCTAAGCCAATTTCCGAATTCTCCCAGAATCCAATATCCCAGTAGAATTCCAAAATATTCCCAGATTCGATCCCAGCAGTTCGTTATTTAAGCTCCAATATTGCTAGATCCGAATATTCCCGGAGACCAATATTCTAATATTCCAATATCCGTCAATTCCAATATCTCTAGATCTCCGGTGCAACAAAGTAATATAAACCTTTCAGATCCGACGTCAGTTTCGCGAAGTTAGAGAATAACAATTTTTCGTCTGACAGAATTTATCCAACGGGACGAAATCGTTTTATTCGGATGTATCGCGGGTTAAAGTGTCCCCCAAGACGGATTGCGTATCCAACGGTGGTGGAGAGGTCGAGGATCCTTTCACGGTGGATACCGAATTTTTCTCACGTACATGCCATATAACGTTGGTTGAAAAATGAATTTCCCTTAACCGTATTCCCGACGATACGCGATACTTTATTTAGCGCGTTTAATCCGCGCGAAGCTGGAGATAAATCCGTGGACGTTAGCCTGCCTCGAGTCGTAAATCGACCGTCTCGACGCTAAGCGGTTGAGATCGTTCGGCAGTTTAGAAATCGTACACCGCGGCGTCTTAGGAGCCCGCCTTTTCGGAATCCATCCCGGCTTTTCAATTGCAAGACAAATAGCGTTGATAAAAGAGGAAATATATTGTTATTGACCGAAGCTGTTACCCGCGGTTTCCGTCCGCCAGTACGTATATATCCGAAAAACGTTTATGCTGCAAACGATTGGCTCGCCTTTAAATCTTGTTTCCGATCCAGGGACGGGAGAAGCACTACCGTCCTACTACTTCCGGAAGTGAGCAGAAAACACCAGAAGCCATTTTCAAGGAATAAGAGTAATCGATCGCGTTACCTTCGTGTCTACCTACATATTCTTTACATCTTTACTATTCTATTCAACGCCTCTATCTTTACAGCTAATTTACCCTTTTATTACCTTACTGTTCTACTGTTCTGTTATCTTACCTTACCCTTTTATTACTTTACTGCCATTTGATTGTTTCACTCAAGGCTAGCATAAATGATTCATTCGTTTTGAGGAGGTACTTCAAAAGTACACACATGAAAGATAAATATCTCATAATCTTATCCTGTCTTATAAATACGAAAAGAGCTACAAACTCACCAAGTTTATGCACCCTCTACAAATATTCAATATGCACCCCTTTGGATTGGCCCGCAATACTTAGTCGAGCTCAAAGATCAGTGCTGTGCTTCAGACAATTGACAATTCTAAAAAGTGTATGAATGAGCTCGATTATCGTCTCAACGTGTGTCGTGTCAAAGGGGTACAATATTACTAATGAACATTAGTAGAGGGTGTATAAAGGTGAGTTCGTGTTTCTTTTCATGTATCTTTCATGCGTATACGTGTAATACTTTCGAAGATATAGTCTTTTGAATACAAATGAATTATTTATGCTACCACGCATTTAGGTCTGAAACCTTCCCCCTTAAGAACCAGTCCAATTTCTGCTAGTCGAAAAATTCTTTTAAAAAAATGAAAAGAGGTCATACAAGGAAGAGTTAAGTTCGGAAAAATGGTTGTTCGAAGGTGGAACCTCCTTAAGAGGTTAAACGTTACGGAACAAGCTAGGATAAAGAGCCGAACAGTCTCGATGTCGAAGGTCTTTACCTTCTTAACCTCACAGGGATCCATGCTTTTCAGATCGCTTAACCGACTCCTTCCCGGTCCATTTAACATTCTGATATCCAGCGAGTTTTATGAGCACCGACCAGACCCGTCGTTTCCCGCGCGGGGAAATTGAAACGCGATTGAAAAAGTTCAAGGGTTGCCTACGCGACCAATTTCTTCGCTGCCGATTCCGTTCGCGTTTTCGCTTTGCCAATTAAGCGGTT